CCTCTTTTATTTTTGGGGATATCGCTTTAGGCCGGCAAATGCGCGGTCCCTCGGCTGTCCCTCATTTATTTTTGGGGATATCGCTTTAGGCTGGCAAATGCGCGGTCCTTCGGCTATCCCTCTTTTATTTTTTGGGGATATCGCTTTAGGCCGGCAAATGCGCGGTCATTCGGTTGTCCCTCTTTTATATTCTTCCTCTTTACTCTTTTGAGCGAGGAGTGAGTATCCTTCTTTCAGGCTTCGGCCAAGGGGGTCGATAGTCCTTCGGCCGGTAAGAAGTCCTACTGGATCGTCCTGTGATCTCAGGGAGGTCCCGTCGCCTATTTATGATGCGGGCTAAGGCTTTTGGTCGGTTACCAACAACTTCCGTTTGTCATCCCTGAGTTTGGGGATTTTTGTCACCTCGGTCATGATTTCAGACCTGTCGTCCTGCTGATTTCGCGGATAGACGACGCGGTGAGCTTCCCATTTCAAGACGTGGGCTCTTTGCGGACCCTTCATCCTGGGGACACCGTCGGCCTTTCCTGAGCATTTTCGCTATGAGGGGCCGAGGCGGTGTGCTCTGTCGACCTTTCCTGAGCATTTTCGCTCTGAGGGGTCGGTGTAGTGTAGTATCGTTTCCTTGAACTTTTTAGAAAAGTAAGAATACAACTTTTATTGATAAGTGGCTCGAGGCCGAGGGTGGCGTTCGACCAACAATCCGTGGGAATGTGAGAGCTTTGCCGGCTGCGTCGTCCCCAGATTATTGATAGAATTTCACCAAGTGATGTACATTCCACGTTCGTGGTACATTAGACCCATTCGGGTGTTTTAGTTTGTAGGTGCCGGGTTTGACTACGGCACTGACGATGTAGGGGCCTTCATATTTGAGTGCCAGCTTGCCACCTTTCGTCGGCTTACTCGCCTTTCTTCGGCGAAGGACATAGTCCGCCACCTGGAATTCCCAGGAACGTACCTTGGCATCATAGTATGATTTTAGTTGACGCCGGTAGTTCTCTGCCTGGATGAAGGTCTGCTCTCGTCTTTCTTCAATCAGGTGGAGATCAAACTTCATGCTTTCTTCGTTGGCCTCAGGCTCATAACGCTCCACCCGTCGGCTGGGTATGGTGACCTTTGTGGGTGCCTTTGCTTCAAAGCGATAGCAAAGGGCAAAGGGTGTTTCGCCCGTTGCCCTCCTCGACGTAGTACGGTAGCACCACAGGATATTGGGGAGTTCATCGGCCCAACTGCCCCCTGCGTCCTGGAGCTTCTTCTTTAGGCCTTCCAAGATGGTTCTGTTGGCGTTCTCGACTTGCCCGTTACCTTGAGGATAGGCAACGGAGGAGAAACGATGTTTGATTCCCCATTCTTTGAGGAGCTCTTGGAAAGGCGCGGCCTCGAACTGGGTGATGTTATCGGATATGATCTCATGAGGAACGCCGAAGCGGGTAAGGATGTTTTTGTGGACGAATCTCTGACACCTGGCCCCTGTGATGCTGGCCAAAGGTTCCGCTTCGACCCACTTGGTGAAGTAGTCCACGGCGACGATGATGTAGCAGTTGTTGCGCGCGGCTCTGGGCAAGGGGCCGACCAGGTCAATACCCCATCTTGAGAATGGGATCGCGGTGCTGACCGGGGCGTAGTTGACGGCTGGCTGACCAGGGGCCTTCTGAAGGACCTGGCATGTAGAACACTTCCTTGCAAGATTGGCACAGTCCCGCGCCATTGTCGGCCAGAAATACCCTGGACGACGAGACACCGAGACATGCTGAAAGGGCCCTAATGAGAGGAGCAGACGCCGCAGTGGACTTCCTCCATGACCACCTCGGCCTCATCCGGGTGCAGGCATCAGAGAAGAGTGTCGTTGTAAGATCTTTTATAAAGTTTCCCATCCTGAATGGTGTAGCTTGGGGCCCTTAGTCTGGCTAGCTTGGCTCTCTCCTCGTCCTGGGGGAGTTCTCCCGAGGTGATGAAGGTCATGATGTCGGTGATCCAGTCCTCCGGCCGTTGTTGGATGCACATGACCGGGCTGGCGTGGGTGCTGGACATGCTCAGCTCCTCGACTTTGGCTATCTTGGAGATGTGCTCTGGAGTGTCTGTGCTGAGCTTGGAGAGGATGTCGGCCTCAGCATTCTCCGCCCTTGGGATCTGGGTGATCTCGTGGGTTTCAAATGCCTTGAGCAACTCCTCGGCCGCCTGTTTGTATTGCCTCATCCTCCCTTCTTTAGCCTCGTATGAGCCCTCGATCTGGCCCACCACTAGCTGTCGTCGCACCTGATTCTTATGTGTCGTGCCTTGAGGCCGGCGGCGAGTCTGAGGCCGCTGAGGAGGGCCTCATATTCGGCTTCGTTGTTGGATACCCTGAAGTTGAAGCGGATGGCATAATAGGCTTTGAATCCTTCAGGGGAAATGAGGACGATGCCGCCACCACAAGCTTTGGTGGCCGATGAACCGTCGGTGAAGAGAGTCTTTCAAGATGGAGACTGGGAAAGCCAACCCTACAAGACGGAAGTGCGTTCAGGCAGTTTTTCGCGTCCAGGTGGGGGGCAACAGCGCGGCCATGAGTGGTGGCAGCATACATGGATCGATTGGCAGCTTTCCGAAAGATAGTGGGCAGCCCCCGGGGACAAAGTCAGGGCTGTCCGGGCAGTCTAATGCATGCTCTCAGTTCACTCGACTTCCGCCGAAAGAGTTAGCAGAATTGCGGGCAAAAGGATTATGCTTTAGGGGTAAGAAAACATTTACACCAGGGCATGCCTTTAAGCAGTTGCGGGTAATGATAGTTGAGGAGCATGAGGAGTTGGACCTCCAACAGCATGAGTATTGTGAAATAACAGGACAGGAAAAGGCTCAGAAAGGCCAAGGGGGTCCAGAAGGAGATGAAGTATATTGGGAATTTCAGCCCTCGATCTGCGAGATTTCAACCTTGAGGACATGGTTATTTTGAAGGAGGATGGATTGATAGAGAGCAGGAAGAGCATGGGGCGGGAACGGGCTTGGGCCCACTTCTGTGGGCCAGTTATGGGCTGGGATTATAGTTTTATTTATTATTATAAAGTTTATGTTATGTTTTTAGTTTGGGCCTATTATTAGTAGAGTATTTAGTAGAGTTAGTATGGGCTTAATTTGGATTTAATTAATTTGGACTCGATTAGGGTTCTGTTGAGTCTCTTACTAGAAGGCTATATATACCCCTTGTCAGGGTTCATTCTTACTTATCTTGAAATAAAATTGAATTTCAGCCTTTTGGCTCTGGGCAACGGTTTTTATCTTTGATTATATGGGCAACGGTTTACCCCGTTGATTTTTATTTTTGTGTTCTCAACATATTGGCAAATCAGTTGTTGCTTAGTTTCAAAAACGGAACCTGTTGAAGCTTTAGATAATACAACAACAACAACATTCAAGCCTTAATCCCAAAAGATTTTGGGCTCGGCTAACATGAATCGATCCATGATATTGATGTTAAATAAAGAAGACATACAGACAAGAAGAAGAAGCAAAAGAAAAAAGTAAGATAAAACGGATAAGATAAAGATAAATAAATACTTCCTCCGTCTCTTTTTAGTTGCAACCGTCAGCATTTCACGTTTGCCGACGCACAACTTTGATCGTCATTATATTTAATTTTGTATTAGTAAAAATAAAATAAAAATTAGATTATAAGACTTAGTAATGAGACGAATTTAACAACATTTTTCAAAAAAAAATAATTCACATACATTAATAAATAAAATGTAGTCAAAGACTCAAAGTAAAGTACATGAATAGTGTATATCTTCCAATGTTGCAATTAATGAGATACGGAGGATAGTATAAGATAACAATAATATAAGAATATAAGAAAGATAAAAGATTTAAAAGATAAAAGAGCATAAACAAGCTAGAAGATAAAAATAACATAAGAATATAAAGAGATAAAGAAAATAATCAGAGTCCCGCTTCGTGTACACGCCGGGTTACACGCCAGTCAAATTGTCTGTATACAGACAATTTGATCGGCTAGACAGACAATTTGACCGGCGTTTTATGAAGAAAATCGATTTCCATACAGACAAAATATCAAGAGTTGTCTGTATCACAGACATTTTAAACCTGAATTTTTCATAAAGTGTCTGTGATACACACATTTTTTTTATTTTTGTCTGTGTGAAAATTGGTTTTCTTCGTAAATCGCCGCTCAATATGTCTGTGTAGTCGATCAAATTGTCTGTACACAGACAATTTGACAGGCGTGTAACCCGGCGTGTAAAACTTGGCGTGTACAAAAGGAATTTTCCAAATAAACAATAAAAGAAAACGAGAGAGGAAAGATAGAAAAGAGATCAATCGTCCACACGAATGAAGCTTTGGATGATGTCTCTAAAATTTTATTATGGATAGACCTACGGTTAGCAGTTTGGCAAGGTTAACGTTGCTCTTTATTTTGTTACCTTATCTACCTCTTCTTAAGTAATTTGAATATTCAACTATAAAACGTCATAAAATTATTAATCTTGGTCAGATGCCATCCATTGAGCTATGATTGACAGACCAAGGAACTGTTGATCACTTAGAGTAGGGGTGGATAACACTTCAGAATGAAAAGAATTTAGGAAGCATTTGGTGCCCAAGTGTAGAGTTTATAGAAAGTCCTCATCTCCTTGAATAGTGCCTTTCTTTAGGACTAGTGTATTGAGTGTATTTCTTCTTGGATGTGTAAGAACTATTTTTGCTTACCATTTACATTGACAAATCAAATCACTAAATATTTCTGTTAAAAAACTTCTCAGCACTGATACCCAATAAACCATATTAAAGTGACACTGTGCATATAAAAAACATAGTGACACTGTGCATATAAAAAACATAAGTTTCAAGAGCATACTAAATTGAAACAGATCTGAAAAATGATATTAAAAAGCTCAAAGCACAACTTAGCAAAAGTATAAACTGGTAGTTCAAATATAATCCCCAAATGGAATCCTCGTGAAATTTACAGCGAAGAAAATGGGCAAAAGGAAGAATCAGGATGGACTTACTTTCGGCCTAAGAAATCGTTTTGATTGATATGTATAAATGGTGGTACTCCATCAGGTAATTGGACCTTCAAGGAAAACAAACTATACCATTGTCATTTAGGATACTAAGAAAAACAAAGGGTTAACTTAAAAAAACTAAAAAATAAATAAAGGAAATAGAATATTAGGACAACCTAAGAGTATATTAATGAAAAATAACCTGGACTATAAATTAGTGTTTGCAGAAAATTTAAAAAAGCACTTTTCAGCTTTTGGCTTAAAAAAAAGCTGAAATTGGTGTTTTCAAGTGACAGTTTCTGCTTAAATTAATCACTTAAAAGTTAAAAACTGGAAGCAGGTTGAGAGATGCTTTAAACTGTTTTTCACTTATTCTATTACATAAAAAGCACTTATTTTATCAAACACTGTGAACTTTCACATTTTCATAATCACTTTTTTCTCAAACACTAACGACTTTTACTATTAAGCACTTTACCCAAAATCACTTTAAAAAATCATTTTTTAAAAGTAGAACAATCGCAAACACTCCGTAAACCTCAAGTATCAACAAAGAGTCACTAGTAACAAATTCACTCTTGGTTTAAGATTAAAATGTACGAGTCCATAATATACAAAATCCCTTTGAGCTAACATCGACACATTCCAGTTGAGAACATCTGTGAACAGGGGAGGGGCATAGCTAGAGGGGCAACCTAGGCCAGCCTACCCCAAATTTCAATTTTGTTTAAATTATTAAGGTAAAAAGATCGTATACAAAAAAAAAAAAATACTATTTGTATCGGTCACTCCAATATACTGCCTACCTCCGCCACTGTCTGAAAATTTGTTGCCCACAAAGGGAAGAATCACATACATCAACTAGAATTTTATGCAAACATGATAAAAAATGTCAAAGAGAAAAGGATTGAGTGCATTACTGAACTATACATTGAAGCACGAACACGACAACAGCGCTAATACAGGTTCCTATGAAGCACGAACACGCAAAACCTGGGAGAAATGGCGTGCCGGACACAAAACTGGCTAGGGCCGATTCGGCTCGGCTGGAGTACTACAGCAACACACGTGCTTCGTTTGGTGTACGCCCGTCCGGCAGTAGCGAGATGCTGAGCAGCGAGTATCCGTGAGAGGCAGACCCGATAGAACAAGAGTGCCTGTAAGGTAAAGCTTGGAACACGACGGGTGCTTTTTTTAGCGATCCTATTTTAAGGTAAAGTTTATGACTATTTCTATTTTAATAATAATTTTTGAAAATGTGTGAGTTCAGTACATCTCGAATGGCACAATATGCACGGTCAAATATATCGAGAGATAGACACATAAATATTAGTAAATAAATTATCTCTTTTCTTATTTGAATGATTTTGTACAATTTTGGTAATTTTTTATTTGCAATATCAATTAAATGTCAAATATCTAGACGATTTTCTTGAATTGTGGATAAAAAATTATCAAAATTGTATAAAATCATTCAAATAAGGAGAGAGATAATTTATTTGTTAATATTATGTGGCTATCTCTCATGCAACATGTGCATCGTGCACATTGTAGCATTGGAAATGCTCTGAGAGGTATGAGAACTCGGATAATCAGTGCTAATTTAGTCCTACCGGACATTAGGTGGGAGAAAACGTTGAGTTGGCAATTATTAATCGTTAGTGTGGTACACTGTGGATTCCAAGTCAGCATCCTCATTATCCCCCTTTATATTCAACCTTAATATATTAGATGAGAGCAAACTTTACAGGTCCTAGATCTGATAGTCTCTTCTCTGTTTCAGTCGTTAGTGTCTTCTCATCCGGCGACTTCTCCTCCAGCGGCTTCTCCTGCGGTGAGCCTGGTTGTTGTTGTTAATCACCTTACAAAACCATATGTTTCATATTTATTCTGTTTGTGAATCAGGTTTAATTTGTGAACAATGGCTTATAGAAATTGCGAATGCGGTCTTCCCGTAAAGCTGATGACTTCATGGACAGATGACAACCCAGGGAGACGATTCATTGTGTGCTCAAAAGTAAGGCTATTCGAATGATTCTAATTTGTGATGTGTTGTCTATTTTTTATTGTTCTTGACCTAATGATATTATTAAAAATATGGTATAGGCGGCTACTGCAACATGTTTGAATGGATTGATCCAAAAATGTGTGCAAGACCGAAGGTGATTATACCGGGTCTTTTGAGGAAAATAAACAAACTACAATTTGTGGTTGATGAGGCAAAGGCAGTAAAGAAAACAAACAAGATCTGGACTTTCTTATGCTGCATCATAGGAGGAATTATGCTACTACTGTTGTTGGTCATTTGTGTTGGCAATGACAATAAGAACACCTTAGAATGGAAAACTTATGAGGCTCCCATTATGTAATCCTGTAGGGATTTTTGAGCAGTTGTACTCGTTGTTTGTATGTTGTAATCCTGTAGGAGGTAGTGGTTTATGAGCAGTTGTAAACCTTGTTGGTATGTTGTAATCCTGTAGGGGTTTATGGTCATTGTTGTTATGTAGTTTTGTGTTATGAATCATTTATTGAAGCTTGTGAATCGGTTATGAATTCTTGATGTGCAACCCTGTAAAATTTATGACCTACTTGATGCTTGTGGTTTGTTCTAGTTTGTAACCGTGTTGTGAATCAGTTATTGTTGTTTCCTGTATTTGGTTGATATGAATGTGAATGTGAGTGACAATCGATATGGACGTGGCTTCACTTTCAGAAAGAAGCTTAAACCACTTAAGGCTTTGAAAATAATTGTACCATAAGTATACTGAATTTTTCCTTTCATAAAAGAAATATGCATTTTTCCCTGAACATAAGAGATATATGCATTTTTTCATTTCAAAGCATGAACTGAATTCATGCAATGACAGAAGCATAGCTTATGAACTGAATTCATAGGGTATTGGACTTCTCCCATGCTTTATGAGACTCCCCACTGAACTTAAGCTAAGCTTCTTGGAGTTACTGCCTGGTGTTGATTTGGGAAAGATGATGTTGGTCTAAAATAGGACGCTCGTAGGCTTTTAGGAAAGCTACGTAAGAACACTCAAGCAGGAATTAGGAAAGTATGAATATGGAAAGTTGCAAAGGGATTTAGTTGCCAGAAATAGCATATCTCATTTGAAATTCGGACTTGCCTTTTATAGGCGATTTACAAATAGTAACTGTCAAAGATACTAAATGGCTAATTAACTACGACATTAATACAGAATTAAACACATAATTAATAGCGCATTGATTGTTGGTCGTTACTCTTCCTGGCTGACAGGTCAGCCTGGCTAGCAGGCTGGACGCTTGAGCTCCCACCTGCTGGACTGGACGGTGGGCTTCCCGCTAGGCTGGAGGAAGGCTTCTGACCGGGCTGGAGGCAGGCTCCCGGGTAGGCTGGAAGGCAGGCTCCCGGGTAGGCTGGAAGGCAGGCTCCCCGTTGAGCTGGAGGCAGGCTGCTGTCCGGGCCGGAAGGCAGGCTCCCACCTGGGCTGGACCGCAGGCTCCCACCTGGGCTAGACCGCAGGCTCCCAGCTGGGCTGGTCGGCAGGCTCCTGGCTAGGCTGGAAGGCAGGCTCCCCACTGGACTGGAAGGCAGGCTCCTTGCTAGGCTGGAAGGCAGGCTCCCTGTTGGGCTAGAAGACAGGCCGCCTTGGGCTTTCACTCTTTGATGGGCCTGATCGGTTGGGCCGGAACGAGCTCTGGATCACTGGGCTTGGGCCTGCTGGTCCAAGTTCGGGGCCTGGGCCGATTAGGCTCTGGGCCTAGTCCCATAACCCCATCAGATGAGTTGTGCATCTTTAGAGTTAAACTACTTGAGTTCAAAGTATAAAATGAACTGTATGAACAGAAGAAGGCTTAGTGGATAGTTTATTCCTTTCAAAGTTTTAAGTGAATTCATAGGGTATTGGACTCCCCCATGCTTATGAAGTGTCTTCATGCAATGAAAGAAGCATAAAATGAATTTGTCAACTGAAGTTTGAACTCATTCTTTGAACTCAATTAACCATGAATTGAAATTTTAATTCATACCCTACACTCAATCAATCATTAACTGAAATTTGAACTCATACCCTGAACTAAATCAACCATGAACTCAAACTATTCTATGACATTTGAAATAATGATAATATCAAATTGTGAACTCAAACCAGAATCTGAAAATTCACCTCAAACCATGAACTGAAATTTCAATACATAATTGTTCAAAGCTTCATAGAGTTTGCACAAAGTCACAAACCATTAACTGCAACCATGACTGGCACACACACCAGAAACATGGTATCAAAACTGTAGCTCTAAACTACACAAATGTACATTATCATCCCAAAAAACTTGCAATTGAAGCATGTAAGCCCATATACATCTCAAAAAAAACTTATGAACCTACACACCACTAATGTATATGCAAAAAAGGTAGTAGAATCTTCCCAATAATATAATGTTGTTTTAACAACTTTTGCATAGGTACACTAATTAGGTGTCAGTCTACTACTGTCCACTATTCTCTTCAATGGAGTCAAACAACTCATGAACCTTCTCTCTTGCAATTATGGCATCACTTGTAACTTCCAAATCTTCAACATGCCTTTTCCTTAAATTTTGAGCATTGACATTGATGTCCTTAGCATTCCTTGCCCTAAGTTTTTGTACAAATGAAAATGAAATAATTATTTCATACCATCACACAACTCAAACTTTTATACAAATAACATCCCATCACACAAGTGAGTGAAATATAAATTCCATACCAACCTTCCCTGGAAACTGAAAACCTATTATACAACACCCTACACTAAAAATCAAATTTTGTTATACATTACCTCCAAACCTACAGCACTTATGGATCTCTGATCCCTAAACTGAAATACACCATCACTACATGTGTCATATGTACCTTGGTTGTCAGATTAGTATGCTTGCAATCTACTTGGACCCGCATTTGCTTCTGGAGGTGCATTGGCAATGTTACTCTCTTGCCAAGATCATATACATACTTACCACATTGAAAGCACTTGAGACATAAATACATAAACCATTTCCATTTTATTATGTATCATGAATGCCTGATCTGAGCTTTTCTTTCGAGGACACTTGTTTTTAGTGTGCCCTGGTTGGGAGCAGATTTCAGGTGTTCTTTTTGGTGGGTTTGAAGTTCCAGCTTGCAACTCAAAAGAGCTAGGTCTCGTCTCAAAAGTCTCAGGTTGCATATCATAAGAGAATTGAATGTTGTTGTCCCTTGCAAAATCTGCTCTTTTGATGGACACCTTTTTGTTGGGCCCCCTTTTGAAGCAAAGTTGACAAGTAATGGTCATACCTCTCTTGGGCAACTTCCCACTTCGAGGAAACCCACCTATTTCTTTGATTCTATATTTCCTAGGCCTCCCTAGCTCTTCAGTAATCAACCCAGCACGTAAGACTTTCAAGTCAGCCTTTGGTCAGAACAAAGGGCCGGTTATTGGTGTCATCATGTTAGCATAAGTATGCCGGTACATGTCCTTCTTGTACCACTGGGAGACACAATCCTCAATTGGATAACTCTATCCCTAATGGCACAAATGGCATGTTTACAAGGAACCCCAGAAACATGTCACTGCTCACACAAACAACTTCTATTGTCCATGTCTACAAGGTAAGTGTTAGAACCACATGACACTTCATATCCATCAACTCCATTAAAGTGGGCCCTCCAATAATTACTTGCCAGTATTGTTTTATTGATCCTCCTCCTTATTCTAGGTCCTAACTGGCCAATCCACTTATCTCCCAAATCCCTATTCTTGTTAAGCCTTTGCATCACCAACTTCATAATATACTCCAACTGATAATAACCTAACTAAGATCTAGCAGAAACTATTACTCCATTAAAGGCTTCACAAAGATTAATATCAACAATTTCACACTTAATACTCCTATTAAAGAAAGCTCTGCACCAAAACTTAGGACCCACCTTTAGAATATCTTCATGCTCAGTTGGAGATAGAGATTTTAAGCCCTCCAGGTTCTGTTCAAACTCCCTCTTAGAGGCAGATTTGCAGCACTTCCAGAATGCTCGTTGTAATTCAATTCTAGGGTGGACTCTTCTCCAGATGGCATAAATGTGTCTGACACTTCTTTAATGTTCAACTTCTGGTAATGTCTCATACAAAGCTGACATTAATCTCTGAAAAATTAAATAAGTCAAAGAATTGAAAATAGATTAGGTAAGAGAAAACTACAATATGTTTAGCAATAGGTAACATAACTTAACCTTTTGTTGGTCAGAAACAAAAGCTCATCCTTTTCCTCTTCGAATTTGTAAATCATCTCTAAGATTCTCAAGAAACCACTTCCATGTGGCTTTACTTTCGGAACCATTAACTGCCCATGCTATTAAGAACATCTGGTTATTTGCATCCTTTGCCACTGATGTAAGAATTTCTCCCTTCACTTCCAACTCCAAAAAAGCACCATCTTTTCCAATTAGTCTCCTACAACCCTCCAGAAATCCCCTTTTACAGGCATGAAAACATACAAAGAATCTGTCAAAGATTGGAGTGGGCTGCTTCAGTTGTAGAATGCAGGTATTCCCTTCATTTGACCTCATGATTTCAGTCTTATAATCCTCCAAATTGTTGTACTTTGCCTCTATGCTTCCCTTTTCCAATTTTCTTATCATTGCTTTGGCTTTCTTCATCTGCTCCAAGGATACTTCACAGTTCAGTTCTCTCTTAACTATCTCTTTCATTGCAACCACCTTCATCTCAGATACACCTAACTTAGTATTGAATTTTTTTTTAACTAACCACTTTGCTGTGGCAGTGGGTAGTTGCCACCCTGGGTTACAAGTATGCTCACGAATATAAGTCTCCACCACCCACTTCTTACTGCTACCTTTGTTGTCTATGCCAAAGTAGACCATCCATGTACACCCCTTGTTTAAATTAGAACATTTTGCCCTAAGCATGTTGGCGCAGTTTTTTGCCCAATAAAAGGGATACCTATTAGTGACAGAGTATTTATCCATGGCATCTTTGACTTCAGTTTTGGACTCAAAGCTCATTCCCAAAGAAAATTTAACCTTATCATATGGTTTGAAGCTTGGAAATCTGGATTTCACTCTAATAGTCTCTTCTTCTTCAGGATCAGAACCAGATTTGTAGCTTCCTTCTTCACTTGAACTAAAGTAATATGTTTCATTACCATCTTCCTCCCAGCTTGCCTCTTCTTCAATTGTGGTTTGGTTATTAATATTTGGGCCTTTACTTTTACCAAGACTCTTTGAATTTGTCACCGGCTTCTTTAGCGAACTTCGGCCATGAGGTAACTCCTCATCATCTTCATTTTCAGAGTTAAATTCCTCTTCAAATAACAGACCTGCTTCTGCCTCAATAATATACTCTTTTGATGGCTTCATCGTTGCCACCTCCACCAAGAAGAAGATGAACAACCCAAGAAGCACATGGTAGCAGATGAACGGTCCAAAATGAACAGCACCAGATATATGTTTGAGTGTTTTCTAATAGTTTGGGGATCTAATTATTTGTTTTGATAGTATGAGTATTTAATTGATAGTTTTTTCAAAACAGCTTAAACCATCCATCTACTTACATCCAATTATTAGTTTTATACTCTTAGAGGTATGCCGACCAGACGGAAAGGTAAATTTAATCGAACAACAATTAGACTTGCATTAATGTATGGCGTAGAGTGTTGAGTGGTGAAACAATGTCACATTCAAAAGATGAGTGTGGCAGAGATGCATATGTTGCGTTGGGTGTGTGGACGTACCAGAAAAGACCGCATGAGGAATGAGATAATCAGACAAAAGGTGGGAGTAGCACCTATAGAAGATAAGATGCAGGAGTCTCGCTTGCGGTGGTTTGGGCATGTGCATAAAAGACTGAGTGATGCACCTGTTAGGCGACTTGAGGGGTGGGGAGAAGAGACAGAGAGGAGAGGGAGGGGAAGACCCAAACAGGCTTGAATTAGAGGAATCATAACTGATATGCGTCTTCTTGGGTTGGATGAGAGTATGCCTTTGAAGAGGGCAAAGTGAAGGGCACACATTCGTGTGAATGATTGAACTCTTTTTTTTTCTTTCATTTTCTTTTATCGTTTATCTTCTTTGTCTTTTTATGTACTTACGTGATTTTTATCTTATAGCTTTTTTATGCTCTTTTATCTTTTAATATTTTATCTTTCTTATATTCTTATGTTATTGTTATCTTATATTTATTTATCTTTATCTTATTTGTTTTATTCTTTTTTTCTTCTTGTTTGTCTTCTCTTTTTGGCTATCATGGATCTTTCATGTTAGCCGACCCCAAAATCTTTTGGGATTAAGACTTGGATGTTGTTGTTGTTGTAGAGTTGTTATGACTCTTTTTATTTTGGACAGAAAAGTGACCAAATTAAATTTTAAATGATTTAACTAAATAACAACTCATGTATTAGGTATAAATAAATATAATAATTCATAGTAAAAAGGCATATATTTAATATGGTAAGTCATAGTGTTGGCAATTTTTAAAGAATTCATATTTTTGTCTTTCACATTTAATTCAATAATATTCATAAAAAGGTCTTTCTAGTACTCCATATTAAATTGAAACAGTTGTCACTTGAAAACTCATTTTTTATTTCAAAAGATGAAAAACACTTTTAAAAAAATTTACATGCACTTCTTATTAGTTTGACACAAATAAAACAACTTTTTATCACTGACCGAGAACTTGTGATGATGATATGTAGTTTTATGATGAATATGCATCAATTTATGTGTCCGAAACACGTAAAAACACTTTATATATGGCTCATGATGGTGTTACTATTTGGAAGTACTTTGTATGTAATAGAGAGGGATTCAAAAACATATCTAAATTTAACACGGCTGCATCTATCATTGATGCTCACAACAATGATGATTTAGATGATCAATTCACTCATGACAACAAATCATCTGAAACTGAGGGAGATGGAAACGATGGTTAACCTTCCATTGAAGATTTACAATTTCTTCGCCTATGTGTTGATGATTAGAAAAAGATATGTTGAATTTCTAATAGGGTTAATTGTAAAGCATGTATAGTGTTTATGCTTGCTGACATGAATGGATAAGAAGTTGCATTCTTCGACGGTTTCATCTTTATTATAGGATATATAGCTCGTCGGCGACGGCAAAACAAATAAACTAGTGCAATCACCGGAGACGGCGAAAATGAGTTCATGAAAGAGATGAAGGCAGCTGTGATGTGACTTGTTCCTTTATGTATTGTTGTGTGTACTTAGTTGGTAAGAAAGAAGAAAATCTAGGGTCACCGGTGGAACAAGAAAGAACAGAGAAGACAGTAGACGGGGCTGGAGGATGAGAGAGAGAGAGAGAGAGAGAGAGAGAGAGAAGCAAGAAAAAGAAAAAGTTGACTAGAAGGTGGGGTCATGACAGAAAGAAGAAGGCGGGTTAGAGGAAGAATAAAGAAAAAAAGGATGACACGCCTCCCCGAACATCGACAGGACATTTAGATGAGAAGATGTAAGTTAGACTTTAATCACAAGCTGGTAGACAGAGAGCGGGACTCTGGCCTTAATACTTACAGAGGCTCTATGGATTTTTAGCATAGTAACCTGTCATCGCAGTTGGTGGGATTCGAACTCAAGACTTACCCCTTGCAACACCCCTATCTACCAGTTGAGCTACACCCACAAAGATGAGGAGAAGGGAAGGGAAAGAAAAAAGCAAAAGAAAATAAAAGGAAAAAAATAAAATAACACGTAGATGTGGTAGCCGACACACCGGAAGCCAACCTATTAAATTAGAGAATTGAACTTTTTTATGAACTTCATGGACTTAATTGAGTGTTATTTTACTTCGGGAGCTTAATTGACTTTTCTGGTTTACTTCCAGGGCAGATTAGACAGTTTTTCCTATATATAAAATGATGAATTACTTATTCAACACTTTCAAAATATGAAAATATCCCGAGGACAACTATAAAAGGTACTTTTTCCTTTACAATATCTATATGTTTTTTTTTGTTTTTTTTTTATTTTCATGTAATATACTATTGGTGCTATATGTGTGCATACACCGAGCTCCGATGCCTAGGTCCGCCACTAGGTATAGAGCATCAATACTAACTTGAATTCATGGCAGAGTGGCAACAACAACAACAACATCCAAGCCTTAATCTCAAAAGATTTTGACGTCGGCTAACATGAATCAATCCATAATATCGAGGCCAAAAAGAGAAGACAAACAAGAAGAAGAAAAAGGAGAGGAAACAAAGTAAGATAAAACGAATAAGATAAAGATAATCATAAATAAGCGGTCAAATACATTTATCTCCTAATTTACAAACTACAAATTCATTGTGGTCATCCGTTGAATTGACTAAAGGCTGGAATCGCACGGTGGCATTTTGGTAATAAAAAGCAAACTTTTTTCATATACAACTCTTTGACCATTTTTATGCAAATGTTACACATCCACCCTCAATATGCAATACACATAGCGTAAATATGCAACTTGGGTTATCTACTCGGCGAGTACTCAACGAGTACTCGCAACTCGGGTATCGACCTTGTCGAGCAGCTATCTGACTCGGTCCGTGTTTTATTTCCGAGTACTCGGTGAGTTTCTCAACTCGGTGAAGTTTTCAACTCGGCGAGTACTCGGTCTAACTTGGTCCCTCTTTAAAATTGAAAAACTAAGTTACAAAACCTAGGTTAAACGAAGTTCCTGGCACCGACTATCCCCCAGTAGTGGTGGACTCGGTTCGGGCCGAGCCCGGTTCGGGCCTAGAACCGGCCGGGCCTCAGTTCTAGGATGGCAGGCCCGGAACCGGCCCGGATAACCCCGGGTCCGGTTCGGTTCGGGTCACCCGCCCGGTTCACGGGCCGGGCCTATTTAATTTTTTTTTAAAATATTATATAATTAGAATAATTCTTATTACAATTACAATATATTATATTTGAATTGAAGTATATTTATTTCAAATAAGAAGTACAATTGAGAATTAGGATGAATTTAAAAAATGTAATACATTTTGTAATAAAAAATCAATCGGACTCTCCGCCTTCGGTTGTTTCCTCCATAAAGTGGCGGGAGGGAGTGATGGTAATTTCTTGAGTTCTTCGTTGGGCCTTCAACCAATCGTGAAAGCAAACTAGTGTCTCAAGAGAGCTCGGGCTCAACCTCGTTCTATAATCGGTTAGGACGTTGTCGGCCGCACTGAATTCTTGTTCCACGGCAACGGTTGATATCGGCATTGCTAGTACTTGCTTAGCCATCTTTGATAAAATCGGGAATGTTCTTTCATTTTCCTTCCACCACTTAAGAACGTCAAAGTCATCACCAACTTCATAATCAACATTCAATGTTAGATACAAAGAAAGCTCGTTACCTGAGCTTTGTTCAGTAGCGGGAGTTGCTCTACTTTTTTTCAAAAGAGAACCAAAAGCGGATTTTAAAAGTGATTTTCCTTTAGATGAAGAAGATGTTCGTTGCATGGGAGGGGGTGCATTACCATATTGTGCATGAAATTCATTATACAATTGATGAAATAAATTACTAACCTCGTTGAATTCTTGTTTAGGGTCGATGAGATTATCATCGAACTCTTGAGTTGGAAAAAAAGAAGCATAATAGTAATCTATACAATTTGCCAAGTAAGGAAGTTTATAACGAGGATCAAGAACAAATGCAATACCATATATATGCGGAATATGTGAATAATATTTTAAAAACTTTTGTTTCATGAAATCACAAAAATAACTAACGTAAGTGGCGTCGAAAAATTCACAAAAAGCGCCGGCGAGATTAACAGCTTCAACAAAAAATTCGTTTGCGGTAGGTTTATAAACATGACTAAAAGTTAGAGTTGCGTTATTAAAATATGCCAAAACATTAACAATTTTTTCACAAGTGTCGATGTCAGCCGGGTTTATAATATAGTTACAAGTTTGTCTTAAAAAAGCTGGAAAATGATCTTTATATCTAACAAGTACTTGAATTAAATTATAAGTACTATTCCAACGAATAGACAAATCTTTAGGAAAAGCACAATAATTCACACGTCTATCCTTCAAATATTGCCGCCATTGCATTTTTAGTGGAGTGTTAGCCCAAATCAATTTAATTCCCCCCTTGACTACCTCCAAAGCATTTCCTAATGCCGCTAAGCCATCTTGTACACACAAATTTAGAATATGACATGCACAACGTTGATGAAAAAATCTACCCATCAATGTAGAAGCACCACACAATTCACGTAATCTAGGTATAGCAGCAGTATTATTACTAGCATTATCAAAACCTACAACAAACACCTTATCAATCAAATTATACTCAATTAAAATACGTTCAATGAGAATATAAATATTATCAGCAGTGTGACGATCATTGAATTCACGAAAAGCAAGAACACGTTTATGCATATTCCAATCATCATTAATATAATGTGCAGTTAGACCCAAATAATATAAATGATGATAAGTATCCTCCCATATATCGCTACAAATACTAACACGTCCATCAAAGTTTGCGAAAAATATTTGTAATTTTTCTTTTTTCAAGTTATATTGCCTTATAACTTCTTTTTTAATCGTTTTGCGACTATAATTTCTAAATTGAGGATTTAAAGTACCTTGAGCATAATCTCTTAAAGCAAGACTTTCGGAAAAAATAAAGGGTAAATTTTCTTCAACAATTAAATGAGACATAATAGTCAAATGTTTTTTATCATCATAGGAAAAATTACCAAAGGGTTGAGAATTTGCAAACCTTGATATTTGTGTTTGCTTCCCCTTTCCTTTGTCTATTTTCGCATACTCCACAAAGTGGGCGGACTTAAGATGTCTTTTGAGACTCCCGTATCCGCCAGAAATTCCCAAGCTAAACTCTTTCTTGCAATGATTGCAACTTGCGTACCATTTTTCGGTTTTTCGTCTTTCCTTTTTGTATAATTGTTTTCAATAATAGGAGATTTAGATTTCTTACCAATTTGGGTTGTAGTCGTTGAAGGGCCCTCGTCCTCTTGCTCATCATCCGGAGTCCCGTCGCCCCCCGAGTCCTCCTCCCCATCGTCATCCTCGAGCTCCTCTTCATCGATGGTTGTCGGGAATTGTTGTTCTTGTGCAAAACGTGGATCATTTTGGGACAATAGGTGTTGTAGTTCCTCGTCGGACATCATCATACCATTTCGCCGTTGGTAATCCGTTTCAAAATCATCTCGACTTTGAAAAGAAGACTCGGCCCGCGCTTTACCTTTGCCTTTGCGTGAAGTAGATCGAGTCGATGCAATCTCCCTCTTGCGGTTGCGTTGGAGATTACCCACATCTACAGAATGTCTACCACGCTCCATCTTTAAAATTGAACAAATATTAGCAATTAACTAATATGAGAAATGTAAAAATTAACTAGTTTTGTTATTTTAATGAGATATGTAGCAATTAACTAATATGAGAAATGTAAAAATGTAGCAATTAACTAATTAACTAATATGAGAAATGTAAAATTGTAGCAATTAACTAATTAACTAATATGAGAAATGTAAAAATTAACTAGTTTTTTTTACTTTAATGAGATATGTAGCAATTAACTAATATGAGAAATGTAAAATTGTAGCAATTAACTAATTAACTAATATGAGAAATGTAAAAATGTAGCAATTAACTAATTAACTAATATGAGAAATGTACAAATGTAGCAATTAACTAATATGAGAAATGTAAAAATGTAGCAATTAACTAATTAACTAATATGAGAAATGTAAAAATGTAGCAATTAACTAATATGAGAAATGTAAAAATGTAGCAATTAACTAATTAACTAATATGAGAAATGTAAAATTGTAGCAATTAACTAATTAACTAATATGAGAAATGTAAAAATTAACTAGTTTTTTTTACTTTAATGAGATATGTAGCAATTAACTAATATGAGAAATGTAAAAATGTAGCAATTAACTAATTAACTAATATGAGAAATGTAACAATTAAGTAGTTTAACTAATATTAATATGACAAATGAAACAATTAACTTTAACTACTTTAACTAATATTAATATGACAAATGAAACAATTAAGTAATTAAATAGATAAACGAGAAGTGTATATATAAATTAAGTAATTTATATATATATATATATATAGTATATATAAATATATAATGTGTAAATATATTATAAGTAATATATAATATAATGTATAACTATATATAGTATATATAAATATATAATGTGTAAATATATTATAAGTAATATATAATATAATGTATAACAATATATAGTATATAATATAATGCGTAAAGAATTATAATATGAATGTGTATAAGTAAATATTTATAAGTAGATAATTAATATTATAATATATAAGTAGATATAATAATTATATAAATTATATATATGTAGAAAGAATTTGGAGAAGATGAAGAATGAAGATGATTGAATATGAGAGATTGAGAGAATAGAGAATTTAGAGAGTAGGAAGAGTTGTAGAAGAAGGTGTAAAAAATGTATAGAAAATAGGAGTATAAATAGGTTTTTTTTTGTATACCCCACCCCCACCCCACCCCACCCCCCCTAACCCCCCAGACCCCCCTCCTATGCTCCCAACGGCTATAGAGCCGTTTGGGAGGTCTCCCAACGGCTAGTAGAGCCTTCAAATATTTTTTTTTTTTTTGTGTGACCATTGAGGCCCGGACCGGGCCCGGCCCGGCCGGGCCGGTTCACCAAAATATCAGCCCGGGCCCGAACCGCTACATGACCGGGCCGGGTGGCCCGAACCGTGACCTAACTGACAAATCGGGCCGGTCCGGGCCCGCACAGTAGCGGGCCGGGCCGGGGCCGGGCCGGTTGGCCCGGCCCGAGTCCACTCCTATCCCCCAGAGTTGTGACTATGATCTCTCAATAAATTCCCATCCTCTTTCTTGTATCATCCCCTTTCTCCTCTCTCGTTTCTTCTTCTTCCGCCCTCCCATCCTTCTTCACCAATTGTTCTTTTCTGCATTCTTAAAATATCACCGTCTTGATTGTTTAATATTGATGCACACGTATTTGTTGATATAAATAAATTATTTTCACTAGTATGACTATATATATTATACTTCGTACTACGTAACTTTAAATTAATATCACTATATTGATTGTTTATTATGGCACACCATTGATCGATACACACTGATACACAACATATAATTGACAGAATATGCTAATCCAACACTTAAGAGAAAATCATATGATTTAGGATGGACATGGGGAGAAAACAGAGATCCTAGCAAATTATTAGATGATTGGGTTTTCTAGAAGACTTAGAATGTTTATGACTTTTGCTACTCCATCATTAGGATTTCTATCATTTTATTCATTTCTATTTATTTTAAGACAAATTTAAGACTATTATATTTCTATAATCTCAAGTACCAATGCTATTAAATTTAATAATTACAAGACCGAGTAGTCACCAGTAATCCCGAGTAATTGGTTGATTTGGTCCTACTCGCTACTCGGCCCTTGACCGAGTTACGTAGCAAGTTAACTACCTAGTATGCAACGTACAAACCTTTGCACAATAAGAAAAGATTGTACTAAATCTGCCCCCTATATATGTAATATGTATTGACCCCCCCCCCCCCCCCCCCCCCCCCCCGCACATATATAGTAATATAGGGCCTGGTTAAAATAAAACTAGATCTTGATGCGTAAAATGCGAAAATTTCACTTTTACAATGTTACAGTGCACTTTTATGTTCATACAATGCACTTTTACTTGTTTGTTAAATGTTCCACTTATTCACAAAAAATGTCACTGTGTTCCCTTCCAAAGAGTGTTTTTCTGCCAATGTTTAAAATGCAACAAATCTTTATGCAAGTGCGCTATATATGCTTAGAAATGTATTTCACACTAACCAAGCATTCCAGCCCAGCTGGTTGTGAGGTTACCGTGACTAGTGGGAGGTCTCGAGTTCGAAACCCGTTAGGCACATGAGGGTTTGAAACTCAATGGAGTAAAAAAAATGTATTTCACACTTTTGCACGTTAAGAAAGTTTTTTGTATTTGATCCGAACTCTCTCTCTCTCTCTAAAATACACAATACTTTTATATCCTTCACTCTATATGAGATATTTGATTATTATTCCTATTAGATTCACTTTGTTAGTATAAAACCAAAGTCTTTATAGAGTAAAAACAACAATAAAAATAATAATCCGTACGATGAGAAAAAAGTAAAAGACTTGGTCCCTTCTAGTCTTATATGGAGTACTATGAAGCAACAAGAATCAGATTTGGTAAGATCAAGGGTATGATGATCCTATTTCAACCTAAGATTCGGTGCTCTTCCGTGTAGTTTTTTGCACAACATAAGTCCAAAAGAGAATAACCAGAACACCAACACAAGATGAGATCGGGTTACCACACATACTACAACCTGCTCACCGTGAAATATGGTTTGTTCCCAGAATTTGCAATTAGAATATGTAGTCTGGCAACTGAAGCGGAAATCTAGCCACTTCGACTTCAAATGGAGTGCCTTCTGGTTCTGCTAAGCTGAGAAGAAAAAGGAGAGGAATCAGCCTTCCTATAACTACAATGTGCATTCAACCAAGACTTGTGTGAGGATTAGTTACACTTGGATGGAATCAAAACTCAATAGTCAATACCTCAATACTTAAAAAGTAAATGTTAACTAAATTGGTTTTTAAAAAGTACTAAGTTTGAAGAATTGGTTTCGGCACTGTGTCACCATCCCACAAGAACTATTGTGAGTTAGTTTAACGAATACCAATCCAGGAAATCTAGCACTTCTTATTAGCTCAAATGTAACTTCATCCGTCCCAAAGTGTAAGAAACATTTCAGTTTGACATGATTTTTTAAAAAGTAATAAGATAGTTGTGATTTTACAAATCTAACCTTTTGGAAAAGGAAGGAAAAGTAGTACAAATACACAAAAAGTAAATGATGAATGATAGTGAAAAAATATAAAGTTATAATAGTTCAAATTAGGGAAGTGTTCAAAGTTTTGGGATGATAAAAAAGGAAAGTATTTAACAAAATGGGACATAGAGTACTAGTTAATACCTGAGGTAGCCCCTTAACCACACACTATTATCCTAGGCACTGTTATACAATTTGATCCCAAATTTTTGTTGGGCTGGATTCATATTCCAATAATGAAAACTGGACCCAATTTAGTCCTAAACATATTTTAGTTCAAAATAAGAAGGATATTAATTCTGTTAGACTGTATTTAGATCCAATTTCAGACACAATTTGGCCCTAAGATACTCTTTCTGAGTTTGTCTCTTTTTAGCTTCATTCTTCTCTTTTTTGTCCATCCATAAACTATCCCCTTTCCTTCCACGGAAAGGCTTTCGCGTTGATATTGTTTCTCTCCCGTAAATTTCAACACTTCAACTTTCTGAAGAAACTTGTGCCAAATCAAAAGAAGAGGAATAGGGAGGGAATGTGTAATTTAGACCAAATTTTGTTCAAAATGCATGTCTTAAATATAGCGAAATATGCATAGAATAAAATTCAATATAATCTGCCTAGTCGAACACCAAATTGAGTCCAAAAAATCAAGGACCAAATTGAGTAGTAAGAATGAGGGATAAGTTGAATAATACTACGTAGTTTGTAGTCAAGGAACCAAATTGGGTGTTAAATATTAGAAGCTCTCACTTTACAAACTGAGTAGAAAATTGAGCTTTTCGAGCCGTGCTCATATCTAGCCCAAATGTATTACATGAGCGGGGTCGGAGAGGTCTATCATGAACTTACAATGTTCATGTGCAGTACACAATTTTGATGCCTTTGAAAGTGTAGACACCATTTTATTACTGTGACAAGTTTCCACACCAAAAGTAATATCATCATCTTTATTTAAAAAAAAATTGTATGGTCAAAATAATAAAATATTTTCCGTGAAAACGCTTGTTGTGAACTCATATAAACTCAATATCAAAAATACCACCACAGCTCAATATTTTCCAAGAAAACATTTGATGTGAAACCATACACATGAATCCCACCACAATCTCAAACCATTGCCACCAGAAAAGCCTCTAGTTTGCATAGCTATGATAAAATTTGTATCCTTCATGGGAAATCACCAAAAGGGTGCATATTAGATAAATAAGGTGTGGGAGCAGGACAGGGTAAAGAAGATATCAAAAAACAAGAAAGGTATTCGACCAGCTCATTCTCAAGGTTTCACCACTTCCATCGGCAAAGATGTGCAGAAAAATATACTAACAGGAGTAACAGCATTTCATACTAATTGAAAAAGGATGAAAATAGATACTATACATATCAGAAAGCACACCAAGTGTAGAAATTAGTAAACCAAGACTTGAAAATAAGACAATGTCTTGAAGACTTACCGCCCAGGAACAAAAGTGAAGTGACCTTCTATTGAACCTGATGAAGATGATAGAGTTGTGCAGCTCTCGTATACAAATTCTTCCTCACCAGGTAGTAGGAGTGGATACTGCAAATATTTGAGGATAATTAGTTTGTAATTACAAGACAAGATATACAAGAGAGCAATAAAGTTAATACAACAATCATTCTATCAAAAGAATCAAACAATCGGAAAAAAACATATCTTAAAGCTTGAGCAAATACAGTATAACGATAGATCTTAAAAGAGGAGTATAGTTACGATTTATGAGACTTGCAAACACATTGTGATTACATTTTGTTATAAATTAGTCCCAATCCAATTTGCCTTCATAAAAACGCAGGTATGGTTTCCCAAAATATCACAAAGGGTACACCGCTTTTGCGCTCTCAAAAAAGAACTCATGTGTGGATGTTCCATTTCTCATTTCTCTAAACAAGCAACCGTGTGATGACACAACTACTTAAAATGTGGAAATTATAAGTTGTGGCATCCAGGAAAAGAGAAATTTACAAATGGGGTACACATTGTGGCGTGTGAGTTTATTTGGGATACAGTGGAAGTCTTGAGGAAGAACCCCAACTGCAATCCGAACTTCTTCAACCCAAAAGGCCAGATCAGTTTTTTGATAGGGTAGGGTTTAAAATTATAAACCTGTTATCCGAATGGATTTACCAAATATCAACCCGTCCTACCCGAACCCATCCGACGCTCTCCCCTAGGCGCAGCAGTTTGTGGTCCCACCACTACCCCCGGTTCTGCCACCGAACTACATGGCACACCGTATGTATTACGGCTGCCACAATGATGAGGGCATCTACGCCATCACCATCGAGGACTCTCGGGAGTCTTCTGTCTCTCCGAGACTATAGGGGGACGACAACCCCAACCCGTGGATCTAGGTGGGGCGAGGCCCCATCTTCAACAGATTGAGCGACAGGGACACAACCCATCAATGCCTGTCGGTGAACCTCTGGGGTTCAAACCGGGATCTCTGAGCCCTGACATCCACCATCACCGCCAACAATAGCGCCCCAAATAGCAGCACGGGGCAATGACTCCAAAGTGAACCTCCACTCTGGAGAGGCAATCACTCTCCCAATTGACCCCCACACGCCAACAACAACAACCCTCTCCTCTGCGTCAGCAGCGGAATTCCCCTCCACGACAACAGTAAAACTCTCCATTGAGGCATTAGCGGAATTCTCTCCCTCGGCGCCACTGCCGAACGAATTCACAGGAGGAGCAAATCCGTGTTCTCACCCACAAGGTGAATGAGCTGCGAGCAGCAGTAACAGCACCACCGCCACCTCCAGTGTCGGAACATACCCAGCTGAAGACCCTTTCACACCAAGTGCAGCAGCTCTAGGCTCAGCTCAACCATAAGTATGGCACGATGAGGGTAAGATCTGACGCCCCCTTCACCGCCAAAACTATGCAAGCCCTTATACCTCTGAAGTATCTACCATCAAGCTCTACAGGGGAAAATCTGACCCCAAGAGCACTACTCTTGCTACCAGTCGGGCATGTTTATGCTCGGCTTGAGAGACGAGTACATGTGCAAAATGTTCTCCAGAACATAATCCTGAAATCAATTTGGAAAGCTATGATAATTGATGAATTGACAGCAATTGAGAAAAAATAGACTTGGTCCCTGGTCCCTTTACCTACAAACAAGCACAAATTTGGGGTTAAGTGGGTGTTCAAACAAAAGTTGAACCTTGATGGTTCGATTGCTAAGCACAAGGCGAGACTTGTGACTACTGACTAGAGGTTTTCTGCAAAAGTTTGGGCTGGATTACTCTGAGGTTTTTCACCGGTTGCAAGACTAGAAATCATACGGCTGGTGGACTCCATTACTAGTGCGTGAAATTGGCCTGTTTATCAACTTTATATGAAATCAGCCTTTCTGAACGGACCTTTTAAAGAAGAGGTCTATGTGATTCAACCTCATGAGTTTGAGATATAGGGTAAGGAGCATATGGTCTACAAGCTCAGTAAAACTCTATATGCCTTCAAGCAAGTCCCCCGCGCTTGGAATAAGAGGATGGATGGTTTCCTCTATCAGCTTTGGCTTCACAAATGCATCTGTGGAGTATGGTGTGAGTCATGATGGCACTGGTTTGCTATTCATCTGTCTGTATGTAGATGACTTGCTGATAATTGGGTCAGATTCAATTAAGATTGATGAGTTGAAGAAGATGTTGAAGTATGAGTTTGAGATGTCTGATTGGGAGAGATGAGCTAATTTTTGGGCATGCAATTCAAGTACACTGCCGCTGGAGGCATCATGTACCAGCAAAATTTCAGTAACAACTCTATCTGAGGTGAATATCAAGTTGAGGAGGGATGATGAAGGTGAGGTTGATGCATCTCAATTCAAGCAACTTGTTGGTTCACTCAGATTTCTATGCATCTTAAGGCCCTGACATTTCTTATGTTGTGGGGCTCATCAGCAAGTTCATGAGTGTACCTAACCTAATAAGTCACATCTAGCTGCTGGAAAGAGAATTCTGAGATATGTGCAGGGCACTACAGACTATGGCATATTGTTTCCTAGACAGAAGGTGGTTGGGAAGGAGCTAGAGCTGATTGGCTCTACAGATCATGATTACAGCGGCAATCTGGATGATAGGAAGAGTACTTCTAGGTATCTGTTTCAGCTGTATGGAGCCCCAATTTCCTAGACCTAGAAGCAAGCTCTATCCTCATGTGAAGCCAAATACATTGCAGCATCTTTTGTTGTTTGTCAAGCTGTTTGGCTTGAAGAGTTGCTCAAGGAGATGTGGTTTGAGACAAAAAAAACAAGTAAAGTTGATGGTTGACAACATCTCAGCTATTAGTCTTGTGAAGAACCTAATTTCTCATGGAAGGAGCAAACACATTGAAGTCAGATTTCACTTTCTGCGTGAACAAGTGAATGGAGTGAAGCTGGAGTCGGTGTACTGCCCCACTCGTGATCAGAAGGCCTACATTTTCACTTAACTTTTGAAGACTGAAAGATTTGTGATCGTAAGAGTAGAGATCAGCGTAGTATCTCTGACATTTGAATTAGGGGGGAGTGTTGAATATTAATTCAAATGTTATTTAAATATTGTCTATTAGGATTAATAGATGGTGACTACTAAAGGCATTAGGCATATACTGCTTTCTGGTTTAATGTATGAGATATACAATTTCCCTCAACCCCTCTCTCTCTCTCTATCTTTATTTTCTCTCTATTACATTCAGCAAACCCTAAAAAGTACCTATGCACCACACGTGGGATTGGATGCATCTGTCACTCAACAAATCTTGAAAGATCTTGAGGAAGTGGTGCAACGAGTGTCAAAGGGAGAGAAGTTGGTCATAGGAGGGGACCTCAACGGGTATATAGGCTTGAGTCATAATGGCTTTGAGAGTGTCCATGGAAACGTGATTTTAGCACTAGAAATGAAGTGGAAAAGAAAATTTTGCATTTTGTCTCAGTGTATGAGTTGGCTATAATGAACACTTGATTAAAGAAAAGAGATTCTCACTTCGTGACCTATAGAAGTGGCAGGCCAAGAGATAGCCCACCTAGTTATACTCACAATATTTCATTTCATTTTCATTTACCCCAGTGCCGCAAAGGCTCCCACCTACGGTGGGGTAAGGGGGGTCGAATGTACGCAATCTTACCCCTATACTAAAGCACAGAGAGACTGTTTTCGGATGACCCATAGTGAAAATCCCGTCCAAAATTGCATGGACTGACTGCTGCTTCATAACAAAGAAGCGCATACAGTTTAGTGAGCCATTTTGCTTTATTCCATCATAATCTCAAGCCAAAAAAATAATGAATCTTTGGCTCCATTGCAAATGATGGAAATGACTCACAATATTTAAAATTAAAAATATATAAAATTCATGATATTTTAGGTTTTAGTTTGATAGTTTTCAATCATCCGGGCCCTATATCAAGTGTTTTCATCTTTCAAGTCTTGTATTGATAGTTAACCTGTCTTTCAATCCCTGAATTGATAAAATTCCCTTTAATATATTAATTTGACATAGGGTGTGTGATCCATAAGGTAACTGGTGTCCTTTAAGCATTACTATGGTAGTTATTTTTTCTTTTTTAGTGCTACATCAAAGAAGCAAATGTTGCTTCACTCGCATCATTTTGTGATTTATGAGATGAAGCACGAAGTGTTTACAAATAAATATTAAATTGTATAACTCCCCAACTTTATTTAAAATACATTGCTCATAGGACCAATAAATTGGTTTCCCCTTATCACACAATGGTTTAAGAGGGCATCATTCATGTTTCACCCAGCAAAGTTTAGGCAAATGTAAGGACAAGATCATGAAATGATGCAATCAAGAATCATCTTGAAACAGACGAGGCCTATTAAAACACCGATTAAAAGCCTTAGATAAACATTTTTATTTATACATAAAAAATAACAGAAGATGAAAAAATAAACATACCTTTCCGACAACTGCTTCTCCACTAACATCATGTGTAATATCATCATTGGCACGGATGATCCAATGTCTCTTGTACAACTGGCAAGAACTAAACTTCATTCCATCTATGTTGCATCCTTTAGGTGAAAGAGACATGCGGATAGAATATGCAAAAGTATATTTCTCAGAATCATGGTGAAGGCTGCAGGACTCTGGGACAAACACAGCAGATGCACGAACCTGATAAAAAATATTTCAGGTTTCTTGCACAGGCAGTTAGCACAAAGAAAAAGGAATCAAGTACTGTGACTTGTTTAGACTATAATGTAATGGCAAGACCAGCACCTTAACACCATTTGTCACAGTCTCGGAACAAAGTGGAGGTTGTTCTGGATAAAGACTGATGCTTCTAATGTTTCCTTCTGTTCTAACCTTCACAATTCCATTTTCTAAAAGTCGACCATATTCTTCTAGCCATAGTAACATTGCATCTTGTTGTTGGCTGCACATTTTATCATGCACAGAACCCAATAAAGAGTGTGGTACACAAGGAAACATTTCTCCATCAGTATATGAATTCCATGCACCCACATAGAGTTGCCCAGTTGAACATTTCAAGTAAAAAGCTTTTTCAACACCCACAGTAGAAGATGCTACAGCAATATAGCTCAGTGACTTCAGTCTATTGCCGTTTCCCAAATAACGTGTATTATCCTTAGATTCAGTTATGACTTTACATAAAGGAAACAAGGAAACATTCACTAGATGGCCATAGAAAGAGTATCCACCAATCAAGCCCAACAAGTTTATATGTCCGTTTGTGCTTTCATTGACCACTTTACTTGTTTCCTGACCATCACAAAGCCGGTATAGGACCCTTGTGGGAAGAGGCAATTTCACTTTTAAACACTCCTCCAAGTGCTTTATTTGGTCCTCAGATGCACCTTTACGTAAGGTAGGCAAAACCTCAGGTAAATTAACTTCTATCCAGCCTCTTATCCTACTCCAACATCTATTGGCTCTTATAACCAAGGACCATGGGTACATATTGAAATCTTCTCTCCATGTTTGATAAGAGACCTAAAACACACGCATAAAAGAATTGCTACAAATTTTGTCAACTCTATTGAGAAATCGGCAGATAACTTTATTAAATCTTTAAGAAATCATAGAATGTGTATTATTTGTTACCAGTTAGGTGCATACTATAATCTATATGCTCCAAATCTCCAACCCTAAGCTCAACATGCAGACACATTTATGTCTGTGTTTATATTTATATTATACGGAATATATTATATGAGATATATAGAAGGGATCCATGAACTCCAATAGTAAGCGTAAGACACTTACTCTTCATCTACACCATTGGATTTACTTAAATTTAAGGATTATTAGCTTATTTTATCTCAAACTATCATCAAATTCACAAATCTATCCTATTCTTTGGATTTCATCAAAAAAAGATTCAAACATTATCTTTTTCAACAATTATGCTTTTCTTTTTTGTTTTTTCAAAATTACACATTTTTCTCAATACCAATAAGATATAAGCAATACAAGTTTGTAAACTTAAAACTAGAACGAAGTGGAAAATATGAAATATAAATATGATTTTCTTCTTAAGTTTTACTAATTCATCCATTAAAAGTGTAATTATGAGAAAATTTGAAGTTTGAGTCTTTTTTTAATAAAAGTGAAAGTATGTGATAGATATGTGAATTTGATGATAGTTGGGGATATATTTAGTTAACAATCCTAAATTTAATGACTTGGATGAGTTGTCTAGGCACTTAGGCCATTAGATGTAAGGCACTTACACTTACTCCGACCATAAAGTTGATCCTACTCTGATATATACATATTGCTTGGTAAATAGGGTAATATACATACCTTCTCTTTGACAGTAAAAATGGAAGAAGAAAAAAACTAAAAAAAATTCTGTTCAAGTGCTCAACAAGTTACAAGGTGCCATCTTAAAGCAAGAAAGACAAAGATTCTACCATACTGAAAACATTCTCTCACACTAAAGGGAATACATAAATAAAATAACTACGTTGACAGATGCGGCAGAATCATTATACAAGTACTGAAACAATGGCTGTAACGAGTGATGTGCATCTCAAATGTATAACTCTCCCAGAAGGTTCAATTCAACGCGGAAAGATGGGAAAAATTAAAATACAGGCAGTCCAGATGATAAGAAGTACATATACTTTAAAGCCAAAAACAGCTCAGTGGGGTGTCCAGGTAAGTTTCAATCTGACCACCAGTCCACCACAACTATCCACAATTAAGCCAATAGATTAGTAGTATTACCCTGAAGGAAGAGGTAGGATTGCCCAGTGGGTCCTGAGGTGAAGACAATCCGAGTTCCTCGGAGCAGAATTTAGACCAGAGGGAGTCGTCCTCGAATACCCAGTTTCTAAACCTCCGGTTAACGCAGGCCATCGTGGCTACATTCTCAGGCTCGAGTTTTGATAGAATGATGTGAATCGCCAGCCCGCCTGCTCTCTCTAGTTCCATGGTCCAGAAATCAGTGGTGATGTGAGGAGCTTCCGAGAAATTGAGGGATTTCACAAAATGGAGAAATGTGTTAAATTTGGCAGTTGGTATAGCAAATTGAATTCATTATTTTTTATTTCTCTCTTTTTTTTAAAAAATGATAATAATTTTTTTATTTTTGATTCGATTTTTATAAAATTTATATCAACATTTTTATTTTTCATGGTCTTTCAAATTAGATTAATATTGCCTATGTAATTTTAACATATTAACATTTGCGTGTAAAATATGTAACTTTACGTGTTAAAATATGTAACTCACGTTCAGTCAGGCCAAATGCAACTCGTGTGTATAAATATGTATCTCTACGTATAACAATATGTAACTTTACGTAAAAAAATATGTAACTCACGTAAAAAAAACCTTTGACTAAACACGTATAAAACAAATGTATAACATATATATATATATATGACATGTGTATCAAATTTATATTTCTATTAGTCTCATTTAAACTACCATTTATCTAAATTACGTATGAAACATTCAACTGTGGTATTGTTTAAAAACGATCCACCGTTTTGATTCTTCATATAGTTTACTTTCGACCCCCCCTCCCCATGTTGTTTTTCTGGCTCCGCCACTGGATAAAATACTCCATTTGGTACTAAATAAACTTCACGTTTTCCTTTTTGGGTAGATCTAAAATAAAATTCACACTTCTATTTTTGGCATGTTCTTAATATAAATTATAAAGTTACTTTTATACTCTTTATTGTCTATATTACACTCATTTTCTCTCTCTCTCTCACTACACTTTATCTACTTTTAGTAGGGGTATGATGGGAAAGTGAAAAACAAAAATTTCACTTTCTTAAATACCGTAAAGTCAAACTATGAAGTATAATTAGGACCGGAGGGAGTAGTACGTAGTACATAAAAATAAATGGCCTAACTAATTATATAACTATTTGTAGTCTAAAACTAACAAATTCAAATACATTAGTAAAATAAACAAATTCAGATAAATTATTAAATTGAGATAATTGATACTTTGAATCTTACTACGCCAAATTCAAAAATCCCACTCTTTTACTCATCACACTAAAATTAAAGTAAATTCCAATCCGGCTATACTGCTTTGTCTGTTTTTTCAATTTGAATTCGTAATGGAAAAGTAGACTTTTCTATTATTTTTAACCCATTGTTAAGCTTTCTATACTAAAAAGTCGATCAACTTGGCCTTTTAATCTGTTTTTAACTTGTAACAAGTCACTCCATAAGTTTCTGATTTTAGACCCATCTCGTGTAGAATGTGGTCTATGAAGTTTTAGCCAAGATTATTGCATCTAGGTTGACACCTTGTCTTCCCGGTCTAATTGACCCTGCTCAAGTTGCTTTTGTGGATGATCGACTCATGTTTGATAACATCTTTCTTACACAAGAACTCATTAAGGGATACACGAGCGATAGATTCCTTTTTTTAGACGTTTGACCAGCGATAGATTCCTCTAGATATATGATTAAGATTGACATTCGCAAAATGTACAATAGAGTTTTATAAGAATTCCTAGAAGATGCCTTATGTGGCCTTGGCATTCCCAATCATTTCACTAAATGGATTATGTAGTGCATCACAAGTGCCTCCTTTTATATTTCACTAAACGAAAATCTACCTGCTTTTTCCAAGGGCAAATGATGACTTAGGAAATGGGATCCCATGTGAATCCCTTTGTTCTTTTCTTAGAGTACTTCTCGAATATGCTCAAAGCATGTCCCATAGGACCGGGTTCTAGATTTCCCTTCCACCCATTATGTTCCCAACTGAAAACCACTCACCTTGCTTACGCTGAAAACCTTGTCCTCTTTTTAAGGGGTCAATCATGAGAAATCAAACATATTTGTAGATAGTGTTTAAGAGTATGGCATATCTTCCATCTTGGATCTTGTAGATTTTGGTCGGGGTACCTTCCTAGTAAAGTATCTTGATATCCCGTTGGAACCATTAAAGACATTTGTTACCCAATCAATACTCACCTTTGTTTGACACAGTGCTTGGGATTGCAAACAATTTCCTATGTGGGTCAAATTGAGTTAATACACTCCATCTTTCAAGGTGTATAATATTCATTCTGCTACATGTATTCCTTTTCCTCCAAATCATCGTGGGTAAGAATGTAGGATTATAGCTTTGTGACGCATATTCCTATGGGGGGACACGTATGCGAAGTTTGCATGGGGCGATTTTCGCCTTCTAAAGGAGGAGGGTGGACTTGGTCCCCGTGATTCCAAAATATGGAACATAACTTTACTTGCATGCACCCTTTGGAACATACATGTCAAGGTTGATGTGTGGAGTTTCACTCCACACCCCAAGACTCCCAATGATGAAAAGGTTTTGCCCTTATTCGAGATAATATTTGAGCTCGTTTCTCAACTCCGATGGAGGTTGTAACACACTTGCATACTTTGTGTGGTAATGGGAAGATCTCCTCTAAGAATCTAAGGTTTATGATATACTTCATACGGTTAGTACGATAAAGCATGGATGAACTTTATATGGAATGTTTACATCCCATCAAAATTTTCTTTTAAAACTTGGTTAGCTTTTCAAAATAGAATGGCTGGCTAATAATTTGACTCACCAGAACTTGGTTCATGTATGGTTTGGACTGCCATGAAGACATGACTTGGAATGGAACTCAAAATGTCAACAATAGAAAGTGCGGTCAAATGGATTAGGAAAGTATGCAAAAGGGCATTGGTCCATTCAAAGCTATACAATTTTTTTTGCATTGGTCCATTCCAAAGCTATACGTGATACGTCACATTTGTTCCTTACATCACTCAAACTGTTGGCTGAGATAGACTAGCTTTTTTGCCACAACATCTTTTTTTATGGCTTTTCCCCATAGGATTAACAGTTAAGGATATGGGTGGACTCAGGTCGGGTGACCCGACCTGGAACCGGCCCGAGACCGATACTGTTCCGGCCCGGCCCGAACCGATGGCCTGGCCAGGGACCGGTCCGAGTAGGCCCGCCCCGATGGTTTTACGGTGCGGGCTCGGGTCCCCCCAAATGATGAACCAACCCGGCCGGGCCTTTTTTTTCAATTTTTTATTTTTCTGGGTTGGGCTTGGTGTTTTGGGTCATTTGGGGTGGTTTGGAGGAGGGGGTGGGGTGAGGGGGGGGGGGGGGGGATTAGGGGATTAATTAGAAAATTAAAAAAAAAAAAAAAATAGGAAGTGGCCCAAGGCCCGGCCCAACCCGGCCCCACCGGCCACCCAGGCGGCCAGGCTGGTTCCAATTCACACATTTTCAGATAAAAGCCCGGCCGGGCCCAAGCCCGAACCGACCCTAGTCCACCCATAGTTGAGGAGGTACACAGAGCAACTCTTTCAGGTCCAATAGTTTATTTGAGCCCTTAAGTTATCATATTAGACGCATAGTTGTCAATTTACTACGTGACATGACAATAGCCGGAATATTACCTACAAAAAGTGAATATGTTCAGTGAAAATAGTTTTTATCTGTCTCAATATCAGTTCAGCTATTTATAGCCAAACATTGGACAACACAGGAAGGCTAAAATAGTATTCATGAAAATTCTAACAATAATAAAGTTATAAAAAGAAGCCCAGCATGTGGATATGAAACAACAATTCAACCATAATATTATACAGTATTAATGTATAAGAACCAATATATGACTGAGTGACTGACTAAGCTATCACTGATCCGGTCCTATGGAGTCAGGAGTAGGGACCATGCTTAGGTGATGGACTGATGGTGAAGGGGTAACCCAGCCTGTCTGTCTGGAACTGTACATTATCCATTACATGATAGAGCTCTGTTGAGGCATCACCATCGCATTAGTCTTTGTGGTAGTAGGATATAAGAAACTTGGTGTGTATTTGTTCAACCAAACTCCATCTGTTCTGTTCAACAGATCAGATACTCAATGAGAAATGTAATCACAGCATCTGTTGTAGAGAAACAATGCATCTGTTGTAGAGAAACAATGTGTCTGTTGTAGAGAAACAATGAATCTGTTTGCTTTTATTACATGAGGACCAGTGAAGAAATTTTTACCTATACACGCGAACTACAATACATTTCAACAATTTCATTTGGGGGGGTCACTAGCTTTATACTGGATGGAAAGCCTAAACTAAAAATTATCCTTAGCTTGGCGGATAGCATGCAAGGCTTCAGCGTCATCTGCAGAGTCTGAAATGTTTAACGATCTCCTGATCTCCATACTAAAAGTCCGGAGGAATGGGTTGCATAGCTTCTCCTTCTCCAGGGTAGTTGGAATCTGGAGTTTATCATAAATGAGAATCACAAATGGTTTTACTAAAATGGGAATATACTTGCTGACAAAATGTGCAGATGCAACAAAGAGTAGCATACTAAAACCTAATCAGTTAACCATCAATCAAACTGGTGTAGCTTCAAAACAGTGAGCAAATGAAAGCTAAAGCTGATCAAGCACACCACAAACTCACAAAGGGTAAATTAATCATGTGTTATTGAAGCAGTGAAGTTAAAAGGTATGCCAAAGAGGTCAATTAGTATGTTCAAAACTGGCAAAACGTACTTCATACATAGAGGTTTTATATTCAAAGTACATAACTAATAAGTTAACTGGGATAACATAATATAGACATTATGTGTAACACTTCAAGTGGGGATCATTTGTATTAAACTGGATATCTGCCTCGATAGTCGATACACATGCACAGAACCACTCTAAAAATTATCTGTTATGATATATATGTTGATTTGGCTGATATGATATATATGTTGATTTGACAATGTCAATATCAATAGTGTACTATGTCTTAACTATAAAAGTGAAGAACCATATTAGCTGAAACTGAATAACTGTGTGTATATATGTACTACATCTGTCCCATGATAATTTCCCACTCTCTTGACATGCGTTTTAAAACAACGAAATTATGTTGTCTAAAATTTGTTCAGAAAATGGAGAAACAATATCAACCGTGCAACTCTTTCCTTGCAAGGAAATGGAAAGTTTATATT